CCCCAAAACCCCAAAACCCCAAAACCCCAAAACCCCAAAACCCCTACCTTTCTGGAGAACATTGAATTAAAATATTAAATTTGGATATGGAGCCAGGGAGTTATGAAATGAATTACCTCAAGAGGGTATTAAATAAGTACTTTACTCCTCACGCAGCAGTATTCTCTTCTGATAGAGTCAAGAAGATATTTGAGAAATATGGACTCACACCAGCAGAGTTTTTGAGACCTTTTGGGAGATATAATGGAACTATAAATTACAATCCATTTCCTAATAACAATAACTATATGCCAGGTAATTTTTAGGGATCTCTCATGGCTTTTTCAAGAATGATTAGGATAGCAGAACCTTTCAGATTACTGCTATCTTTTCGAGACGAGTGGTGGTTGATCCTCTTGTTACTTTATCATCAGAAAGTTAAGATTTATCCCTCTTTTATCGTACTTTATTTTTTTTCTTTTCAAAATATGTTGCTAAACTTGATTTATAGTGGAAATCTCTAATTTCAGATTGGAGTTTTACGATGATGATTCCTTCTATGGATTCCCAGAAACTCCTAAAGTAATCGAGCATATACTACAAAGCTATAAGCCTCAAATTTCTTTAGAAGAGAAAGACTGGGCTTTAAAGGAAAATTTAGAGCAGCTAGAGCTACTGAATACTTATACATATAATACCATTTGGTACAGAAAGTGGGAAGAGTGCTTCCTAGACACCTGAAAATTTGCTAGTCATGAAATAGTCGATCAACCTCTGCTGTTCTTCTACCTAGTATCTGCAGATGATGAAGATATTGACAAGCAGCTGAGTAATCTCCAAAATCAGAAGAGTGCTTTCAATAGATATAAGGACAACACTTATGATCCAGATTACCCTCATATTTTTATCCTTATGCATGACAAGAACGGAGAGTGCACTCAGGACGAAGCTGCCATGAAATTGGATAAAATGGCCAAGAAATATTCAAAGGGTTTCAACATTGTAGAAACCTGGTCAATGGACTTCTCCCCAGATTCTGGAGGAGCAGGCTTTGACGATTGGGAAGAATATCTTAGAATGAATAGAATCCATCACACTGATGTTTTTGAAACTTGGGATAGGAAAAAGCTCCTTACTATTGATGATAGAGAAACTTGTAAATACTTCATGAAAGATATTATCGACGAGAAGCTGATAACCCAAATCTGCTCTAAAGTCAGACATTTTGAGCACCAAGTTAAGAACACAAAGAAGGGATTCGCAAATGCATTTAAAAATTACTTCAATAAGAAAGAAAGATCAGAGAACGATGGGTTAAGCAAGAATTTCTTAATGAATTCTCAAGAAGTATCTATGAAGAGCTTAGTTGATTTGTCATATCTCTTCCAGGATTTCAAGACATTTAACACGTATTTAAAATACCCAATGAGTGATTTCAAATCGATTAAGGCATTCAAGCATTACTCAAGCTGATTGGAGCTACAATTCTTCTCGAATCTGTTCAGCTCATACAACTATGCAGAATCTAGGGACTTTTACTCTCATATTTTTGATGCAGCCCACAATTATTCGAGAACAAAAGATCTAAAATGGATGATAAGAAACTTAGTAATCCTAGCAGATGTGTGTAAGAGCCTTGATAACTTTGATATGGCTGCCAAATGCTACCTAAAGATTGCCTATACTTTAAGCAGTAAATTGTGGCTTCCAGCTTTATTCTTTGAACAGGCAGGATGGTGCTTCCTCAAACTTAACCAGCAGAGAAAGTTCACATTTTACATCGTGAAAGCAGGAATAATCTATGAGAAATTCGGTTATAAAGATTACTCCTTTTTCTGATTCGGGATTGCTGAGCCATACTACACAAATTTTAAATGGAACGAGATCAGAAACTTCTTGTATACAAGCTTGAGTCAAAGCAGTTTCTATTTTGGAAATCTCCAGCTTTCAGTGAAGTTCTTCAGAAACCTTCTCCAATTGTGTTGAGATATGGAAGATAACAGAAATGTCCAAGCTAGCCAAAAAGAATGCTTAAACCAGTTCTTCTCAGTAGTAAAGAATTGGAATGAGTGCAGGAAGAAGCAAGAAGACGAGCTAATTGCTATAGAAGATGGGATCAAAGAATCTGTTATCAATATCGGCTATCTCTCATTGCCAAAATTCTTGGATGATTTGCTAGAAGTCGTCCTTTCTCATGAAATTTCTATTCCTTACCAAGGTGAGCACTCTTCTCAAAATTCCTGGAGGACATTGATCAGACAATCCACCAGTTATATCGAAGGAAATGAGGGGGAGAATGAGAAGAAAGAGCCTGGAGTTTCTTTCCTTTATAATATTAATAGGGATGAAAAGTTTGAAATTGGCCTTTTTGATGCAGCAAATAGGTTTGAAAAGAAAATAGGAGCTTTGAAGAAAGTAAGAAAGGTGTATGCAAAAGAACCAATTATTGTAAAAGTATTCGTCAAAAATCCACTCATGGCAGATGTCGAAATCAGCAAGATATCGCTGAAATGAAAATTTGTTCCAAAAGAAGAAAAGAAAGATGAGCAGAACCAAGATGATATTATTGATAAAATGGCAGCAGATAATGATCTTCCAGATTTTACCATTTCTGACCAAAGTGTGACTTTAAGTCAAACTTCGGTGAAAGAGATCATTTTGGAAGTCACTCCAAATAAAGAAGGAGAAATATTTATTCTTGGAATAGAATGGGAACTGTTCAATGCCGTCTCTTGTAATTACTATTTTCCTTCAAATTACCCAATAGAGGAAGCTAATGAGGAGAATACTTCAAAGAAACTAAAAGGAAGACAGAACATGTTCCATTATGAAGTACTCCCACAAAGTTCTAATCTTCAAATCTTCTTTGATGAAAAGTTGAACAAGATGTTCTACTACACCGAATATACAGATATTGATGTAATCTTCGTGAATTCAAGTGATCATACTATAAAAGATGTATATTTGAAGTGTTCCCATCCAGTCTTCTTCGGCTTCTCCTGCATGAAAATCGTCGATGAGATCCCTCCACAACAGCAAGTCAATAAGAAATTATGGTTCAGGGCAGTAGGATTTCTTGGAGTTGAGAATGTCAAGTTCCTAGCTAGATACAGAGTAGATAGTCCCCAACCACATGCAAGGATGACCAGGGTTGTCAAAGAGATCAATACCACCAAAAGCTTCAACTTTAAAGTCAGTACTGCTAATAGTGATGAAAATGTAAAGGAGAAGATCCTTGGAGTCCATCTGAAGGATATTGATAAAATAATTGATCAAGAGTCCCTTGAATATATGCAGATTGATCAACTTGCATTTGTGAAGGACAAAGACGAATGGTCCATCAGCGTTAAAGATATCAAATAAAAAGAAGAAATCTAAATACTTGATTGAAAAATTCTTTGGAGTTGAGTCAGTTGAAGATGATGATGACTCAATATTTAGAGTAGACCCTTCTACAAGAAAGAGAAGGAGCTCTCTATTACTCGAGAAAGGAAGCCAGGTTGAAGAGATAGACTTTACAGATGAACCTTTTAACAAATTCATTGATCAAGAGTATAATTTCTTCAAGAATACAATAAAATCATTAAAAGAATACTCTAACAAGCAGTTAGATACCACAAGTATTGCTATTAGCTGGAAAATATTTAAGGAAGGAGTGTGCGACCTTAAGGGTTTTCAATGAATTTTCAACATCGTTCTCAATGATCAGATAATTTCAGAGAAATCAAAGATTGATATTGAAGAAGCTATAGATAATCCCTTGATCTGACTGGTTAATTATGAAAAGATTGTCCAATATGATTTTACTCAGAATCCTTTCTGTAATGTGCCACTGAATATAACTATCACCAACACGCTAAAGTCAAAGCCTATCAGTTTCTGCATAGAAGCAGAAGGAGAGAAGAGAGTGAAGGACATTAATGATTTCTTCTGGACTGGAGTCACCAAAAAGAATGTCAAGAGTCTCAAGCCAAAAGAAGTAATGAATATCAATTTTACTGCTTGTTTTACCAACCCAGGAGTATATGACCTGAACAAGATCAAATTAACTATCTTTAAGGATGCATCCACCAATAAGATTCTTGAGACTTATGAAGAGAGGAAGAAATGACCAAAAGTAACCGAAATCCCCAAGAAGCTGAACCAAAAGAACCTGATTGTGAAGATTGAGTAACTCAATTTGGTAATTTTCTGTCGGGGTTTTGGGGTTTTGGGGTTTTGGGGTTTTGGGGTTTTGGGGTTTTGGGG